ACATCAATACCTGACAGGCAAGGACATCCTACGGAACGAGGTAGGGGCTCCATGGAGAGTCCATGCCCCTGAGCCCAAAGGCATTACATCCACGTTTCTGAAAAACTCTGAGTTGGCAAAATAAAACACAGCTGCCTGTTTGAGAACCCCAGTATATGCAGTTGGCTACCAACTAGGTTTAAAAAACAAACAAAAAAAGCCATTTATATAGATACGGTCCAGAAAAGGCCAATACAGTATCATAAGAGCAACTCTCCAATACAAATTCTAATAATCATTTCTAACAATCTGATTTTCTGTAAGTCACTGCTTTCTTCCTTGCAGCTTCAGTTTTCCTACCTGTAAAATAGCGGTGGATAACAGCTACATCACATTTCAGTGACAGGGTCAGAGAGAGCATGTAGAGCAAAGCACATAGCATAGGGCCAGATACATTCAATAAATGGGGCCTACTATTACTAAAAAAGTAAAAAATATTAGGGCCCACAGGTGGCATAGTGGTTAAGATGCTGGACTCCCACATGGCTAACCACAATTTGAGTCATGGGCCTGGCAGCTTGAAAATCATGCTTGTGGGGCCAGCAGGTGGCATAGTGGTTAAAGTGCTAGATTCCCAGATGGCTGACCACGGTTCAAGTCCTGACCTGGTGGTTTGCTTTCTCACTTTCTCTCTCTCTCTCTCTTTGGTGAGCACACGTGTCCTTTAGCAAATGAAAAAAAAATAGTAATAATAATGAATACAATTAAATAAATGATTCTAAAAAAGGGAAAAAATTCATGCTAGCACATGTGTGTGCAGGCCCAAAATCCCTGGAAGAGAATGGAGAAGAAGGGATTGTGGTGTGGCTACCCACCAGAGGATGGTTTCTCACTTTCCCTCTTACTGTCTCTCTCTGGCGAGTGCACGTGCCCTATTGCACAAACCTCAAATAAAATTAAAATATCCATACTGTTTATATCTAGTAGGGGGTTAGAATGCTTTTAATTAAGATTCAGTTCAGTTGTCATCTCTTCCAAGAAGCCTTCTTTGATAAGCTGAACCACTGATGATTCAATGGTATCATAGTTTACCTGCCTGTCTCCGCCTGTGAGTTCCTTGAGTGTTCTACTCGTCTGTCTTCTTCCCATCTGGGCCAGAGCCTTACACACAGATGTCATTTATAAATATGTACTACATTATTTAATTCCCTTCATTCTATTTTTTCTCTATGAATAAATCTTCTATAATGAGACATATGACATAATGCTTAGATTACCTATAGAGTAATCTATAAGTAATAAGTAATTTATAAAGTAGAAGAGGTCCAGCTGGGTGGCAGAGTGATGCTGGATGCATCGAAGGGGGAGCCAGATAAGATCAGAGTGGCAGTAACTCATGTCTAGACAAGAGCTGGTAGATGAGCCTCTACATCCTCCAAGTCTGAGTCATGTCAGAGATGCAGGGCCTGAACTCAGAGAGGGCAACTGCTTCTTACTGGCAGGAGACAGAACTCAGGTCTAAACTGTCCTTCCCACAGAAGTCTGCCTCACAAGTTTGAAGAGGTAGATTCATGCAGCTTGGAGGGAAAAAGCAGAGCAGAAAGAATGAGTGACCAAATAAATGCTGAGCAATTGAAGGAAAGGCGATGTTGATGACAACATGGGTAGAAGTCAATGGAGCCGCAGAGCAATTAGGTGGAGATGCTTGGTGGACAAGGGGACATTTAAGATGGAGGCTGTCCAGACTAGACAAAGGGGTCAAGTGCCAAGTGGTGACAAAAGATGAGATAATCTTCAGGCAAGAGCTATAGAAGCCCTAGGCTGGCTCTCAATGGTCCTCTAGCCTCTAAAGGCAGCTCGTCCAATGTGGAACAGCTCGGCCAGGGGCTCTGTCAGGGAGCGCCACCCAGGAAGCCTGGCTCTGTTCTAGGGCTGCCACAGGAAGAATCTCGCCCCCCTTGTCCAGATCATTTCCTGTGCCTGCCTGCAAAGCTTCTGTCCAAGTCAGTGCCCCTACTGTACAGTTCCTCTTGCCACCCAACTGCCCTCGTCTGCACCGATCTAATAGCTCAATGTCTACGTAGAATGTGGTGCCTGCTATTGCCCTCCATGCTAAAGGAGGGTCTGAATAGCACAGAGGATTGCATCAATCATTTTTTCATTCTAGACATTAGCCTTATAATAATGTGGCCACAAGCCACTTCTTTGGGGCAGAAAAATTAGGGGGTCTCTCAGTGGCCCTAACCCCTCCACCATGCTGGCAAGGGGCTCGTTCTCCTGCTTCACTTGGCCAGACGAGTGCCTCCTCTGTGTTACAATACTGACAGACCATGGGTATTATAGTCAAATCCAGTACTTGTCTCAGCGGACATTAATCAGGCCCGAAAGGGGGAATGAAGATGGGGGTACAGTCCTGACCTGATCTGAAACAGTACTGAGGGACTGCCTCAGGGCAGCTCCTAGGTGTGGAAAGTTGGAATAAAGGGAGGGAAGCGTTTGTCAGGAATTTAGTAGCTCTTTCTCGTCCCAAGAGCTCCTTGGGTTGGGCTGGGAAAAGACAATTACCCTTCCTAAACTTCCTCTGAAGGAAACTATTTCAAGGCAGTTACAAGATGTGTTACCAGGTACTTTTAGTTTTCCCCATAGGCACATGGTAGGATTGCTCTTCTCGCCTCCCCTGTGATTGGGTGGGGACAAAGGATTCATTCTGGCCAATCAGTTGTGGAAGGGTCCTATTTCTAGGCTGAGCACCTAACTGCTAATGTCAGACCCTTCAGAGAAATCTCTGCCCTCTGACAAGCAGCCAACAATGTCCCGGTGGCAGGGGGTGCTGCTCTGCCAGTAGACTGAACACCTGTGACAAGCAGAGCAACCCCTGTTCCCAACCGCAGTGGACATGTAGCATGAGGCAAAAAGACATCCTTGTTTTAAGTCATTGAAACTTTGGGTTGTTACAAAAGCATGATCCAGAGTATTGTGACCAATACGTGGGCAAGCAAACATCACACAGAGCCTTAGAAACCATTCAGTCCAGTGTTTTCATTTCATAGGAAGATTAAGCTTCAATGAGGAATGTGCTGGCCCGGAGTCACAGGGCAGTGAGTGGTCAAGCTGGGATCAGAACACACGTCTCCTCTGGGAGCTCAGTGCTCTGATTCAAGAGACTATCTGCCACTAGGTGGGACCTGCCACACTGAATCATTTCAAGGCACTTCAGCCAATTTGAAGACCAGAGACTCCATGACACTGGAAAGAGCACAAGACTGAGTCGACAACTGCATCTTCCAGTCTCAGTCCTGACAATAAACCACTGCATGACCTTGCAGTCAAGGCCATTAGGTTTTGTTTTGACACTTATTCACTTTGAGACCAAAGAAAGGCAAGTCACATTACATACCTAGGCCCCATCTTCCCAGGAGGGAAACAAGTAGGTTGATTTAGGTTTCAGAGATTTATTGTGCCCATGCCAGAGCCCCTTAGGGGTGGCCCTGGAAGGAAGGGTGCGGCCACAGGCAGCCACAGGGGCAGCAAGCACTCTGGTCTATCTCCCCTTTGACCACAACAGCTCAATTTTATTTTTGATTGGTTGATTTTTTTGTTTTCTTTTTTTGGAGAGGGTTTTGCTATAGGATGCATGCGCTCCCCAGAAAGAGACAGACAGAAAGGGAGAAGTCACTCCCCGGGGGGATGGCCATGCCACAATCCCTTCTCCTCCATTCTCCTCCTGGGCTCTTGGGCACAAACGCACATGCACCCAGCATGAGTTTAAGCTGCCGGGGCCAGGACTTGAACCACGGTCGACTACGTGGGAGTCCAACGACATAGCCATTACGCTAACTGCTGGTCCTGCTGGTTGATGTTTTCATAAGGTTTCCCATCACTGAATTTGATCTTTTTTTTTTGGAGAGATTTTCGCTATAGGGTGCGTGCGCTCGCCAGACAGACAGAGAGCGACATAGAGACAGAAAGCGAGAAATCACCCCCCAGAGGGGATGGCCACACCGCAATCCCTTCTCCATTCTCCTCTCGGGATCCTGGGCATGCACGCACACGTGCCCGGCATGAGTTTTAAGCCACTGGGTCCGGGACATGAACCATGGTCGACTACACGGGAGTCCAGTGACACAGCCACTACGCTAACTGCTGGTCCTGCTGGTTGATGTTTTCATAAGGTTTCCCATCACTGAATTTGATCTTTTTTTTTTGGAGAGATTTTCGCTATAGGGTGCGTGCGCTCGCCAGACAGACAGAGAGCGACATAGAGACAGAAAGCGAGAAATCACCCCCCAGAGGGGATGGCCACACCGCAATCCCTTCTCCATTCTCCTCTCGGGATCTTGGGCACACACACACACACACGTGCCCAGCTTGAGTTTTAAGCCACCGGGTCCGGGACGCGAACCACGGTCGACTACGTGGGAGTCCAACGACATAGCCATTACGCCAACTACTGGTTCCCGAGTTTGATCATTTCTAAGGTCCCTGCCAGCTCTGAGATTTGTGATTCCAGCTCTTGAATTCTGTCCTGTTTGCAGGGAGTTCCAAAGTTTTATTTTTAAAAAGGCAAATCAAATTAAGGTGGCCTTTTGGCTCATGCTGTACCAGGCTCCCCAGAGTACGTGAGGAAGGGGGCAGTAAAGGAATGGTTCTAGAGGGAGGGGTCATGGGAAAGGATTGTTTGATGGACTGTAGAATATGAGAGGCTTTGAGCAAATACTACTTGGGCTAAAGATTCTGTCTGGCTAGCCCTACTGCTCTGAAAAGCAACTACGAGGTTCATTACCTCAAAAACTGAATTTGAAGGCCAATCCTCAGAAGCTAGGAGTAGCTAGGGCCTCTCTCCCTGGTCACAACAGGGCAGCTTCTGATTCCTGATGAGACTAGGGGCTGGATTTGTATTTAAGTGAACGACAGTCTCCTGAGGAGAAGTGGTCTTTGGTGCGGAGCCTGACTTGATTTAAGGAGTGAAAGATTCAATGGTGCACAAAGTGCCACAGGTCCCTCCTTTCTCTGAGACTTACCTTGGCCTCAGAAGTCTTCAGAAGCTTCATCACCTCCCCTTCTCGAGCATAATCCAAGGCTGTGTGTCCCATTTCATTCCTCTGCAGGGGGTTGGCTCCTGGCAGGAGGAGAAGGAAAAATGGTCACAGGCTCCACAAGTGATCAGCTCATAAGGAGGAGACCTCAGCCTTTGCTTGGAGGTGGCTTGGGCCCCGATTTCAGTGTGAGCAACGCCCATGGAAACCTAAGATAGCAGAATGGTGGGAAAAACTCATCGGGCTACGCTGGGAGGAGAGTTCTTAGCCCTCTCTGACACAGATGGCAGGATACTGGGGCTGTGTGCACATATGTGCAGTGACACTTTACCTGTGAAGAGAGGAGCTACACACATGCAGATGTGTTAAATACACAAATACACACAGTTAAACATGCTAATGAACTACGTCAAATACATAGATTATATACTTGGCACAGATCCATGTCAATACTCGAGCTCATATATACATTCGTTAAAATGTACACTTCCCACACACTGCATGGAGATGAACATTCGATCACAAAGCTACGTGAGAGGCGTTCAGACCAGAGAAAATCCCAGATAACAACAGCAAAGTCCCCTTGCCTCTGCTCTCTGCTCCTCTCTCCTTCAGTGTTCTCTCACCTCTGGCATTTAAAAAAATTTGAGAGGTTTTTGCTATAGGGTGTGTGCGCTCGCCAGACAGAGAGAGACATAGAGACAGAAAAAGAGAGACCATACCCCAGGGGGGATGGTCATGCCGCAAAGCCTTCTCCTCCATTCTCCTCTCGGGATCTTGGGCATGCACGCACACGCGCCTGGTGTGAGTTTTAAGCCACCGGGTCCGGGATGCGAACCGCGGTCGACTACGTGGGAGTCCAGCGACATAGCCATTACGCTAACTGCTGGTTTCCCACCTCTGGCATTTCTCATGGCCAGAGTCAGTGAGTCCTCTGGACAGGTGTGGGCACCACTAGCATCTTGGCTGTGCCACCCAAGCTGGTGCTGTGTGTGTATGTGCTGGCAGGTATTTCTTCCCCTCTTTAATTCCTGTGATTTGAGGATGACGAAATGGTTAGCTGGGCCATTTATCTACCTTTTTCTAGAGCGCTGGCAGCTGCTAAGCCTGTATAAAGTGCCTACATTGTGCAAAGCTTGGCAGTTACGGAGGAAAGGCTCCTCTGGCCCTCTGCACTCTCAGAATCTCCTTCCCCAAGTTTGAGCACATCACCCTTCTCTCCTAAAACCATGCATCCCATTCCATGTAGCAAGCCCTGAGTGAACAGGCTGCAGACAGAAGATGAGGTGAGGCAGTGCTCTGAGGCAGAAGACAGAACTAGAAGAAAGCTGTACTGTGGACAGCAGGAGGTCATGAACACGTGTTAAAAGGACATAAAGGTGCTAATTATCTCATGTTCCCTGAGCTGTTCTCTTGCTAGGGAAGTGCGATCTGGAAGTAAGAAGGGTTAAGACTCAGTCCCTGCCGTATGAATATAATGGACTGGCTGGAGATCCATTCAGCACAGGACCCTGGCTCAGGGTAGGTGTCCAACCACTGTTTGCTGATGCTCAGTAGAAATCAGTGTTTCTTGGGGGCCGTTAGGTAGCATGGTGGTTAAGGGCACTGCACCCCCATATGGCCGACCGCAGTTCAAGTCTTAGACCCGGTGGCTTGTTTTCTCACTTTCTCTCTCACACACTCTGTCACTCTCTGATCAAATTAAAATAAGAGAGAAAGAAAGAAAGAGAAAGAAAGTTAGTTAGTTGAATAATTCTTAAAAAAAAAAAAAATCAGTGTTTCCTGAACAGCCCAGTAAGATAGCAGTTAAGCCCTATGCATAGGGAGCCAGATCCCACACGGTCAGCCATGGTCTGAACCTGGACCCAGCAGCTTGGAAAAACATGCCAGACTTGTGTTCATAAGTGCCCCAAATCCTGGCGGGAAGGAGAAATGGAGAAGGGCTGCCACGTGACTCTCCCACTTGGGCAGGGGGGTGTTCCTCTCTCTCTTGCGTGTGTCCTCTGTCAATATTAAATAAAATTAGTGTTTCTCAATCTTAGACTGTGAAAACATTCATATCATCACAGAAAACTCTTCCTACACAAAATCTCTACTTATTTTATTTTTTCCCCTGTATTGCACTCGCCAGAGAGAGACACAGACAGAAAGCATCTCCCAACGGGGTGTGGTGAAGCTGCAAACCCTTCTCTTTCATCTCTCCATGTTGTCAGGGTTTGGGGCACACAGACACACAGGTACATGTGATGAGCGTGTTCTTTAAGCCACTAAGTTTGGGATTCGAACTGCGGTCAGCCATGTGGGATCTGAGTCCCTTAACCCGTAGGCTATGGAGCTGGCCCAAGTGTCTCTACTTAAAAGACTCCATCAACTTGTCAACACTAGTAAACGTGTATTGGCATTGGGCTGTCTGCCTGGGCTGCTGAGGAAGAGGCCAGATTCCACCCAGGTGCGGAAGGATGAAGGGAAGGGCAGAGAACAGGAAGTATAAGCCAAGCCAAGGAAAATTATTATCAATAAGAAACAATAATTGTATGATCCTATTTTCTAACTGGATCATAAATATCGACATATTACACATTATTTCCTATTATGGTAATTTGCATACCACAAAATTAAACCTTTTAAAGGATACGATTCAGTGGGTTTCTCGAAAGTTTAGTTTTATTCTATTCATGGTAGAGTGCATGGGTGTGCTTATGAGAGAGATGGAGGGTTGTGGGGGAGGGAGAGAAGCACCCTTGACAGAGTTTCGTCATGCTGCAGTCCCCTCTCCCCTGCCTGCCAGTCTGTCAGGATTTTGGACATATGTGCACAAACCTAATGTGTTTTCAGGCTGACCTGGGATCTGAACCAGTGCTTGGCCATGTGACTTCCAGCATTATAGTTCAGTTTTGCTACTGGTTGTGCCGCTAGGCTGGGCTAAGGACTTGGAAATATACTTACAAGGTTGTGCAACCATCACCTCTAACCAGTTCCAGAACATTTTCACTCTCCTGAAAAGCAACTCCATACCACTGGGCTACAGGGTTGGCCTGTATGTTTTCTGTCTTCTGAGTAGATACTACTACTACTACTACTAATGGGACCAGCAGGTGGCATGGTGGTTAAAGGCGCTGGACGACTCCCATATGGCCATCTGCAGTCCAAGTCCCAGACCTGCAGGCTTGCTTTTCACTTTCCCACTCTCTGATCAAATTAAAAATAATAAATAAATAAAATTCTTAAAATAATAATATGGTATTACAGAGTACTTATTATGTGTCAGGTACTGTGTTCTGTACTTTCTATACATTTTATCATTTAATCCTCACGACAACCCTGAGGGATAGGAATTAAAACTCCTAAGATACAGATGTGGAAACTGGGCTCAGAGGAGAGACATAATTAGCAGAGGACACAAAGCTAGCTTTGTTTGTTTGTACCAGGAGTCAAATCCATCCCCTGGTTTTTCTAGGTCCAATTTTCCACACTCTTAAAAGGGTGGCCAAGGCACAACCCTGAAGAAAAATCATCTGTGGCCTTTCGCTGTACAGGAACAAGTGCAGCCTCTTTAGTATGGAGAGTGTCTGTGGTCTAACTAGTGGTTGCGTCCTCAGAGCCTGGGTGGGGGTTATGCTCTTTCAGTTCTGATAGCACTTACTGGGCACCTACATCACAGGGCTATGGGTATAAGACAACGCGGGATTGACAAAGCCAATGAAGCCTTTTATACTTGACCATTCTATAGCGATTGACACCTTGACTGTTCTCTCCTCTGATTTTATAAAACATCTCTGTAGGTTTTCCTGTGGTGACTGCTCTTTCTTGGTCTCTTTTGAAGGCTCTTCTTCCTCTCTTTAAGGTTAGACACTACTGGAGTTTGAGTCAAGCACCACTCCAGCTCTCCAGGAGATAATGGGGGCAGGAGACAAGCACACACGGTAACACAGGCTAACTACATCGAGGTGCCAAAGGAGGGCAGGTGGCACTGAGGAGGAACAAAGAGCTCAGGGGCTTGTTCACCTGGTAGGCCTTCCTAGGCCTGGTTTCTCTGGGGCTCAGCACTGAGCAGGGTCTGCAGAGCTGAGGGGCCAGTGGCAGACAGGGAGCCACAACTGAGCTGTGGAAAGGCCTCTCCTTTCTGAGGCAGCCCAAGGGGAGCTCTGTCACTAGATGGGCTGGAAAGGAAGTGGGGATTAGGGAAAGGGCTAGGAAGAGAAAGAAAACAGCAAAATGGAGAGA